GATCAGTGGTTAGAGCGTTGAACTTCTAAACAAAACGGGTAGCGGGTTCGAACCCCGGAGATGCTTGCTTCTGGAGTTAGGTATGGCTGGCTGATGACAGTTAAGAATCCAGAAATGGCCATTCCAGTCTGCCTTGTCTTTGTCGGAAATGTATTTGTGCCTATACTATGCTAGCCAAGCAGGAAAGTGTGTGAGGGGTCTTTAGGCCAGCAAGTCGCCAACGGCTGCATAAGATTTAGACAGCAGATACTGACCAGGGGAGCCGAACAGCGTCCTCAGCTGCTCACCACAAACAATTTAACAACACAATCACAGTACCACTACACAAAAAACGGGAAGAGAACAACAGAATGTGGGTCAGACAGAAATTCAGGGTGGATGGAGATGGATAATTCGAATGTTGCTCACCCAAAGATAACATTCTCGCTCCTTCTTCTCCTGCACATTTTCTTCTTCATCGTCATAATCGTGCTTCTTCTTCTTCTTCTTCTTCTTCTTTTTCTTCTTCCCTTCCTACTCCTTCTCTACGCGTACTGAATTTAATAGCATTCGGAGCTTCTAATCGTTTTTTATTCATTACACTGTAATATTTCACATAATCCCCCCAAAGCCCTTATCAGGACACCTACACTTATATTGAATAATAGAGTATCGTGTTGTCAATGCTGCCTCTTTCTAGATTCAGAATTTGACAGACTGAGGCAGAAATTGCCGTTCCAGTTTCTCCTATCTTTACCGTTAATTCTCTTTCTCTCTCTTCCTCTACGAATTCATAAGAGTATTGTGTGCGTCATATTTAATTTGGTTGAATTTTCCAGCTACGTGCCAACTTGCCTGCTGTCCTCATGAGTACATTTTTCCATCAACAAGCAATCTTTCATTTTGATCTCACCTCATTTATCCACTCTATCTGCATTTGCCAGCTAGATTTTCGTCTTCTTCTTCTTCTTCTTCTTCTTCTTCTTCATCTCAACTCCTACGGTGGCTCATACACTTTATCGCTGGATCGAGGGGGGCATAAATCCTGACGCTGTTATGAATATGCCTATAACCTACAACTTTACTACTGTTAATCGTAGATGCTTTCGACCGATTGGACGGTCATGGCCACCCGTGAGGGTCCGCCATTGACCCATGTTTGACTACTGACATTGGTATTTGACGTATACGGAAGCATTTTATATATTGTGATTCTCTCTCTTTCCAGCTGACATTTTCAGCCCAGGCACCAGGGTCTGTTTGGCAATTCAAGTGTAGGTTTCACTATTTGATTAAACAGTAGAGCTGACAGAGTATTATCGGTGCTATCGGCTGATCGCTACTACCACTGCTAAGTTTTTCTCCTATCCCCACCCCCCCTCCTACTCTCAGCCTTCTACATTTGTCATTCATCTAGCTTAACATCCGAATGTCTTCGGTTTTCTGACATGCGTCAGTTCTTCGCAAAAGGAAATACGACTCACAATTCACCACTATTTTCTGCTCTCTAGCTAAGGCGGAAGGGGCTGAAAATTGCCGACGGAAGTCTTGCACACATCTCACTCCATTCATGCTCATCATAAATCTAAATCACGTCTGTCCGTCGCGTTGCTCACAAACTACGCGGATGGAGGACGACTTCGCATGAGTGATTTATGCTCTAAACCAGTCGTCAGTCAGGAGTGGCCGTTTACCAGTCTGTCATCCTAACTATCCCATCTTCTCCGCCTCCTCTTCTTCTTTTCCCCATTCAGGCTCGAGCAGTGGGCGTGAATCAGATGTTTTTCCCGTTTCCGCTACCGTCAAG